TACAACCGATGTTACTTAAATTGCCTGTTCCACACTAATTCTGGCTGATCTTGTACACTAATAATCAGCGATTCACTGTTTTAAACCATTATTCTCTGAAAAGATTAGGTAGTTCAAGTTGTCCCAAATATTGAACCTCAATAAGATAGACATTTACAATCATGCAAGACACCTACAATTTGAGGTCCCTGCTTTCAACTGTGAAAGAGTGAGCTTCCTCGACCTGCTCAGATGCTAACATACAGTGATTCACTGATTAACTTGATTTTCTTCTTTTTCATTTTAAAGGATATTTTAATAATGAAAGTGTACAAGCACCAAAAATGATAACTGTTCCTATATATTTGTCCAGACCTGCCATTTGAACCTATCACTTAAGTAATAGATTAGTCCTAACACTCTGCAGCATCCTGGGATCCCATCAGACTGTTCAGACTGTTCATCCTGAATCTAGCCCTATTCCTAGAAAAACTACCATTTAGGGAAAAACACAACATTTATTCAACAATTCCATATTGTCTCTGATGCAGCAATGTAACGGTTAAGTCACAATTATACTGAGCTCAACGAGACAAAAATAAAATGGTTTTAAAGAAGGGGCTGGGTTAGCGATTCTTTTCTCACTTATCTTAATGCTAAAAAGACAAAGATCTTTCTTGTCAGTAACATATTAGTGGGCTTCAGCCCTGAACTATCTCTGGATGCCAGCACCATCAGTGACCTCAGAATGAGAAGATACAGCAACTCCTCAAGGTGAGTGTACAAACTCAAGCCCAAGCTGCTTCTTTGGAAGGCTATCAGCGGTGTCACAGGGCGACTTGATTCTTGTCCAAAAGTTTGAAAATGAGGCTGGGTGCAGTGGTTCACACCTGTAATCCCGGCACTTTGGGAGACCGAGGCAGGCGGATCACCTGAGTTCGGGAGTTCAAGACCAGCCTGACCAACATGGAGAAACCTCATCTCTACTAAAGATACAAAATTAGCTGGGTGTGGTGACGCATGCCTGTAATCCTAGCTACTCAGGAGGCTGAGGCAGGAGAATCCCTGGAACCTGGGAAGCAGAGGTTGCAGTAAGCCAAGATCGCACCATTGCACTCCAGCATAGACAACAAGAGTGAAACGCCATCTCAAAAAACAAAAGTTTGAAAATGTGCTGAAGTAATGTTCCTTCCCACACTCTCCTACCTCACAAAGATGGTTATACTGGAAAAAAAAAAAAAAAAAAAAAAGAAAGAAAAAAAAGCAGGTTTCTCTGTCCTCTCTTTCTGCCTTAGCTGAGCAACAGTGGATGGAACTATGTTTGTGGTATTGCATTTGCACTTAATGGTACAGTTCTTTGACGTACTTATATTGTTGGAATGCTAAATTTATACGAAATTAGGAATGTCAGGCAAAATTAAAGAAAAAAGATCTGACTCCTTAAATCTATATTCTCCAAAAGAATAAATAACTTAGAATGTAAATGAATCTTTCATTCACAAGATGATTTTTTTGAGAAAGAATTTATAGAACCACTGAACTAAGCAATGTGCTTTCTTTACCTTCTGAAAGGCCTACTGAATTTCAAAGGGTAATGTTTGTTTGCCATTTTGTCATTCGTAACAGACCCATCAGAAGTGGAAATCAATTTGTCTTTGGGAACAAATTCTGTACTGGGTACTGGTTATATAAATCACAGGCATCTCATTTCATTCAAAGACATTTTCTGAACATAAGATGGGGACTATTAATTCTCTACTTATGTATATTATTAATATTCTTAAGTGTTACAATATTTGGGGATAAGCAATTATACATTTATAGTAGATATCATATATAAAAAGCCACATTCAGACAGTGAAATGTAAATAATTAAAAAATCTAAAAATGAAGTAGCATCATAGCACCTGTTATGGAACATCTAATAAAGGATTACTTTATTTCATTATCCAAGAAAACCCTTGATTCTTCATGAAAAAGAAGAGAAGAAAGAGCACAAAAGGATTATTCGGTTAACAACCCCACATTTTGCTCTCATCCTATTGCCAAGTAATTAAGGTAATTCACAGCCGCCGGCTAAAATTCATACAGGCTGAAGCAAAGGGTCACATCTCTATGAATTTCACATTAACAGCTGAGTCTATTTCCTTTGTAAAATGGTAAAAATTTTTCCAGACAGCAGGCCACAACATAGAGCTTGGGTGGCAAATAAATAATTTCAACAAATCCAGCTTAAGTGGATTGCTTACCTGAGCCAAAGGGCGTATTGCTTCCTGAGTGAACAGATGTGCTAGAATTTTAGGACAATTTCTCCTTTTCTAGTCTCCTCCTCTACTACATCTCCTCTCTTATCTCATTTTGTCCACTTTATTCCCTTTCCCATTTGAGGTGATAAGTCTAACTTTAGTTAAGCGACACTTTCCTTTATACTCAGGTCTCCATTTTAATTTTGTAAAGTCATTGGCAATAAAAGACATGTTACAATTGTAACATTCATTCTTATTTCTATCTTATATAAAATTTAACAGATTCTCTCTATAAATGGATATAATATCCCCAATTACACTGGGAAAATTAAATTGCTAATAGAATTCTTGAGTTTGGCCATATTTGCGAAATTACACCTGAAAGTGAGAAGTACTTGCAGACAGAGGCCTCCTGGTTGAGGACATTCCTGTTCTCTTACCTGCAGTCACCAGCACCTGCTAAGCATTCTCTCTGCACAGACAGCTCTCTTCCTTTGGGGGTACCTTTGCCTTTCTGCTCAACCTTACACTGTGTTTTTGCCTCTGGTGGAAAACCAAGGTTGGTTCCAGCTCAAATGGCATTTTATGTCAAAAAGAGAGGAAGGAGGGGCAGTGCAGAGGTAGCAGCAAGGTACAGAGAAATCTGATCCTTTTTTCTTTCTTTCTTTCTTTTTTTTGAGACAGAGTCCCACTCTGTCACCAGGCTGGAGTGCAGTGGTCCGATCTTGGCTCACTGCAACCTCCGCCTCTGGTTTCAAGTGATTCCCCACCTCAGACTCCTGAGTGGCTGGGACTATAGGCATGCACCAACACGCCCAGCTAATTTTTTTTGGTATTTTAGTAGAGATGGGGTTTCACCATGTTGGCAGGATGGTCTCAATCTCCTGACCTCATGATTCACTGCCTCAGGCTCCCAAAGTGCTGGGATTACAGACGTGAGTCATCGTGCCGGCCTGATCATTTTTTCTATTTCTACCATGTGTTGCTCTTTTAAAGGGTGAAGAGGTAAGACATGCAAGGAATCATGTAGCAGATCGTTTCTTCAGCTTTTGGGTCCTCTATACATTGAGTATGCCGAATTGAAAGGAATATAAATTCCTGGGTCCGTTATGAAGAAGTTGCCCATAGGCCAGGAGTGGTGGCTAATGCCTGAAATTCCAGCACTTTGGGAGGCCGAGGCAGGTGAATTGCTAGAGCCCAGGAGTTGGAGACCAGCTTGGGCAACATGGCCAAGCTCCATCTCCACAAAAAGTTGGCTGGGTGTGGTGGCATACCCCAGTAGTCCTAGCTACCTGGTAGGCTGAGGTGGGAGGATCACCTGATCCCAGGAGGCTGAGGCTGCAGTGAGCCATGACTGTGCTACAGCACTCCTGCCTGGGCAAGCAAGTAAGGCCCTGTCTCAAAAAATCAATCAATCAAACAACCAAAAAAAGAGAAGTTGCCTGTAGCCTCAAGTGTCAGTAACCTTCTATTTCAAAACACACGGAACCAATAAAATTTACTACAGTAACTTAAATCATATCAACTTGCCTTAAAGCACTGAGGAAGCGACTCAATGTGACGCATCTAGGGGACTATAGCCGTCTTGGAAGACGACCCAAGCTTGTTCAATCATCAGGTACCAGTTGCCGGTGCGTGATGAAATAATTTTTTTAAAGTCTAACGTCATATGATTTGGAATGTTTTTTTTAAATATCAAAATTATGATGATTGTATAGCCACATTGAAAATGCTAAACATTTCTTTCAATGGAAGAGTTACTAGTTACTATGATACATCTACTATGTTGAACACAATAAACCATCTTCAAAATAATTCACTGTGAAATGTGTAGTGTAATATATCTGCAGTGTATCATATTGTGAATCAGGACATCCATATGACATAAAGAAACTTGTCTGCAATTTGTGGGGCAACATTACAACCACATTTTAATTCCAAAGACTTCTTAGATTAGCTCCTCACTTTGTTCACGATCATAACGTATTAAGACAGGGTCGCTCAGTTGTAAATTTTCAGCTCCCTCTGGCATTCACAATTTGCCATTCATTTGGTATAAACATGCTTTAGTTGAAAGAAAGCAAAATAGATCTAGGCCTGAATAAATAATATTGCACACAAGGCCCCTCAGCAGGAATAGTAGTATTCCTCTGTTGAAGCACTTAATGTTCTTTTTTTTTTTGAGAAACAAGTCTATTTGTTGTTATCCTCAGTCACTTTATGTTTCTCTCCAGTGAGAAGCCTGAAGTGGTCAGTGAAATTTAGTATAGGTAATATTTAAAAATATTTGCCTCATTTTCTCCCTCCTTCCCTCCCTTTCTTCCTTCCTCTTTCAGAGTACCATAAACACAAGCAAAAATGTAGAAGAAATCTATGGCTTTCCAGTGGGATGAAAGATGTGTACAGTCATCCATCCATTTACTCATTCATTCACTTGATGAGAAAAGGAATTCTTTCCAGATTGGTGTTATTGGAAATAATAAAAACAATAATCAAACCCATAAACATGGTAGATATTATCATAAAGACTATAGTTCTTCCCAACTTTGAAGGAGAACTGCATTTCCTTTTCTTCCCCACCCCACTTCAGCTTTGCATAAAGATCCTAATTTCCCTTCAGACTTGCTTGGGCGAGTCTCCACAATATAAAATTAAAGGAGCAGGATGAACAAAAAGGTTCAAAATAAAGTGATGTATTTAACTCTTAATATCAATTGAGCTGTAAAACTTTTGGTAAAAACTGTGTGTGTGCATAAGATGTGTGGTGCTTCTTACCCGGTGTTTGAAAGTTAAGGCGTCTCAGTTCTACAGGGTCTGTTGGGTGGTGTGAAGGGATCTCCTTACTGTTCGGTATGCTGCTCTTTCTAGAGTCAGACTCTGCCCTCTTCCTATAGGGAGAAAATACAAATTTAAGAGGAAAAAAAAATCAGTTGAAACAGATCAAAAAGCAGAGAGTTGCACCTGCGCTCCCCGCCACCTCCCAAGTTTTCCGTTTTACAGCTTTTTAACCCAGCTGGCTTGTGACCAAGTTCGGGGTGCTTTTCCTCCCTTGGCCTACAGTGTTGTCTCAGGTCTAACATTTTTGTTTAGGTGGATGATCTTGAAGTCTTCCTCCAACTCTAGGATTAAATAATTCAGCAACTCTGCCTTTAGGCTTCAAGGGGATCTTGGTGAGATATGCTTGGACCCTTACCGAGCAGTTCTCTGCTATCTTCTAGTTCTATTTGTGAGGAACAGGATAGGATACCCCGAAGTCACCAATACTAACACTGTTGTTGGCTTTAAGCTGAACAGTTAAATCTGTCCCCCTTAGCTCTTTCTAAGTATATATAAGTGGTGACTACACAGTGGAGATGCCTTAGATTTTCCCATTAAGGCATGTAAACACAAGTGCATTTTTAAGATGCCAAGTTATCCTAATACCTAGGAGAATCGGTATCAGGTAAAACAAACTTCCTCTTTTTCTTTCAAATGTGAAGGAAAAAAACAGTATTAGTTGTTAACAATATTCAGCTAACTGTGAGTAATATTTTGTTAATGAAAGGTTCACAGAAAGATCAGAGAAAAAGTAATTTCACCTGGTGGGTAGATCAACTTTCCTGATAACCATTCAAGGTACCATTGACAGTGCCTTGTTATAAATGTGATTCTTCACACAATACATTTCATCATCTTTGTTTTAAAAGCTATCTACTAGCATTATTAGATATCCCCATTTAAGTTCTCCTTATGTAATTTTAACAAATTTCTATGCAAGAAATGTCAGATCGATCTGTATATAAGATTTCTTTATCCATTAAAAAATTAATCACAGAGTCATAACTATCTTCTTCCAGCTTGAATTAGATTAAAAACCCATTTAATCAACGGAAGCCATTTTAAAACAGTGCTTTTCATTTTTTTCCAAATACTGATGCCTACAATCTCTATGCTAGAGTCACAATCCTAGTATCTAACCCCTGCGCAAAGCAAAGGCATTTTTATTTGGGGGGGAAAGGTGCTGCACAGTGTTTAGGAACTTTGCTTTTCTCTGTTCGATGTGACTGTGGTACAGCTCATTAGCTTTGCTGTGGCAACAGGCTGTCATTCAATGCCACCCAGGTTGTTCTATGGTTAGCCACAGGGCTCCTGCTAAATAGTCTTTAGTCCCATTTCCGCTCATCTGTATAAAATAAAACTAACCAGGGGATGAAGAGAAGTTGGTACCAATGAGAAATGCACATGATTTGCTCAAGTACAAGCCTTCAGCGAGACATCCTTGATGGAATACAGTTTCGTGGGTAAGTCCTATTAGACATGTTGCTTTCTCAGTACTTTGGATTAACCTGTCTGAGGATTTCTCTTTCTACCTAAAGGTGTCAGATACAGCCTTGGGACAAAATGTACTGCAAAGCCATTCCACCAATCAGAGGTGAGCAGTATTCTGAGGCCTGCCAAGGTACTGGCAGCTCCAGTTCTATGGCGTAGAAAAGAAGGAGGAAAGAAGAAGGAGAGATGAAGGGCTGGTGAAAAAGATATGAGGAGGAAGAAAAAGACAGGCTCAGAAGACCATGTGAAAGGACGACATGATGACCAGTTTCAGAGGAGGCACTGTCACTGTGTCTATGCTATGGGTCTTTGCCTCACCACACTAAGAGATTCCTCTTATCACTGAAGATGCAAAATAGAAATAGGTTAATGAAATGTCACTGGGTACAGCTAGTTGGTTAATGCCACGTGATACATATGGTTGGTCTTCTCACTTCAAATAATACCGATAGACTGTCTCATGTTTTGACGTTTTGCATAAGTTGGAACACATGCATTTCTCTACTAATGTGCCAGGCTCAATGACTAAAATTTCGATCTTTCTCCCTTCTCAATGTGGCTTTGCCATTCTTGCAAGACTATGGAACCCAGAATTAGGAATATCTATCTAGGCAAGAAAACTGCTTTACTTTTACAGGTATTGTAGAGTAACCTCCTTATCTTCTTTATCCCCTTGGCTGGGGTGAGTGACAACTGAGCTGGAAGGACAGAAAAAAAAGTCTCTAAAGGAATTCAGCCAATTTCTCTGGTACCAGGAAAGTTAGAAATTACATCTTTTTGTAAAGATGTGAGTCTCAGAAAACTCAAGACATGGGACAAAATTACAATTTACAATTGTAATGAACAGAGAGGTGTACTGACATTTAATAACTAACTTCTCTTTCGCTGTATATTTAAATGAAATTCTTTCCAAGCTCTCACACTCTTGAAATCCTAGCCAAATAGAAAAGCAGCTGCTTAAATGTATTTTGCTTAGTTTTGTTTTGATGATCACAACATAGATAATTCTGGCTGTCCACATTCTTATCACATTATTTTTAAACACTTATTATGTGATGTTCTAGAATGTTTGTTTCCTAACACAGACACAATTTTTAGGAAAGATGTGGAAGATGAGAGTTTGGCCATCATTGGTAATAATACTAAAGAGTTTTAAAAAGTCGTCATAAAATGTTAAAAGACATATAATGGTCTAAATTAGGCTCGGCATGAATGTAAGTAATAACATTTTTCCTGATAAATTTCAGAGGTCTCATCATTCTCATTTTCATTTTGAAAAATGGAAAGAATAATGACTAGAAACAGATTCTAAGTTTTGCCTTGCTACACTATATATTTTTTTCTATTAAGATGACAAAATGTTAGTGCAAATTTATTTCTTGCAGTGAGAGGTATCTATTATGTGCAGGAGTTATGTAGGTGAAAAGGAAATGGAAGATCACTTGACAGTTTGGATCTGTCAGAAACTGCTAATACTATCAAAGCAGGTGGTTTTTGGGATGCGGGTAATACACAACACAAACACTACTCTGGTCCAGGGGCATTTAGCTTTCACCAGGCTCTCATTTCGCAGGGGAAGAAAAATCAAAGGGAAGTTGAGTGAAAGATCATACTTATGGTCTTCAAACAAAGATACACAAAAACGTGAGCACACGCTTTCAGAAGAAAGATACACTTATTAAATATCTATACTATGAATATTCAAGTAAATCAATCCAAATACTTCATGTTTCTGATAACATTAAGAATGTAATCCCAACTCCGCCACTACTGGTATGTGCCAACTACAAATTTTCTTTTCTGTTTCTTTGTGTATAAAATAGAGGGAGATTAGATGATGATGTCTACGTCTTGGCTCAACTCTCTCATTTTAATAGAAAAAGTAAGCACTGATTAAATTACAAAAAGTGTTATAATGAAAGGTGGATATCTGAGTATTTTAAGTGAGTTTTAAAGGTTTTTGTCTTTTGGATGAAAAAAAACTATTTTGCAGGTGTTTTTGCTGACTAAATGGACACTAGAGATGTCCACACAAAAAAGACGCCCTTACAGAGGTTTAAAGATTTTTATCATTCAACATGAGGCTTGCTGACTAATGTAAAGTGATTTTAGTGTAAACAATGCAGCGATGGTTCTCAAATTTACTATGCATCAGGATTGCCTGGGAAGACTTGTTAAAGTACAGCCTGCTGGACCAATGCCTAGAGTCTCTGATTCAGTAGGTCTGAGGTGGTGCCCAAGAATCTTTATTTCTATCAAGTTCCCTGGTGATGCTGATGCTATGGCTGCTGGTCCAGAGACCACTCATTGGAAACCACTGGAATATGACATTGGGAGAAAGGTAGGTAATCGCCGAGATTTTTTTTTTTGTAGTTTAATCAGGAATTTATATATGTGTTACATGCATATTTATACATAAGTGTATATGAAGATATAGATATGAGTATGAAAGCTAGAAGATTAGTATGGATTAATCATTCAATAATCACATAGTGTATGTTAGCTATGATTATTGCTGTTATTATTCAAGACTGGAAGACATGGATAATAATTTTGAATTAGGGAAGAGTTCTCAGGCACTATCATCAATATTTGCAGGGTATGAAAATGCTAATATCATTAGGGGATTTGTAATCAAACTTGAAAACTAATCTTCGGTAACAACAAGACAAAACAAAACAGCTTATGAGACACCTCACATTTCTGCTCTGTAGACACATGACACACACAAATGCCCATTTTAATCTTGACCACAAACAAAACGCAGATGTTGGTTTGTGTACTGTCTTTTAAATTTCACCTTTAATCCGTTTCTTATGTAAACAAAACATTTACTACTTTCCCCAGAATCATTTAAATGAAGTTACTGTACATATGTAGGCTTTGCCCATCTTTTGTATGTAGCCCCGCCCTCCCCTCTTCAGCAACTCCAATGTCTAACAGTTTCTTAGGTTTCTCTTACTGATCATTAAATGGGTTTGTTCTCTATTCCTCACCTGTCAGGTTTACTGCTCCATTTTAATGCAGCAAAAAAGGAAAAAGAAAGGCTAAATGTTAGTTGGTCAATGGTAACAAGGATAACCATGACAACCAAGATTTAAGAAACAGTGTTCACAAGCAAGGACACATAACTGACATACATTCGCAAGCGACAGTGAATCAAAGTAATTGTAGACCTCTGATTATGAAATAAACAGAGGACATGAAGTTACATCACTGAATACATTGTGTGTGTGTGTGTGTGTGTGCACACGTGTGTGTGTGAATGCCACATACATTTTTATCCATCACCTACAAAATATTGCCACAATTAATAATATCCCAGGAAGTATTTGATAGTAGAGAGATAATTTGATTTTTTAAATACGTGCTATGTGAAAACTACTAACGGACTGAATGGGAATACAGCATCATTCCATAAAAGAAATTCATTCATTTAAACTAAAAAAGCCTTCAATTAAGAGGTATGTCATTCCTTTCATGATATAAAATATCTGCAAATGGTATTGAACTATACAGAAATTTGCACAATCAAATAATACACGAAAAGGTAGTAAGGTGGCAGAAATCATTTCTTCAAACACCTCTTGCTACATCTTTTTTCCAGTGAAGGATTAAGTACATCTTTAGTTTAGGAAAATGTAATACCCATCATTATAAATCTAAAGAGCATGGCCCATTTATACAGTTAGGCTAATCCAGGAAAACATTTTATTACCAGCCACTGACAGCACAGGTATTTTCCTAGTCTGTGCTGCTGTCTGCGAACGCAACAAGTTCATGCTCATAGATCCTTTCACCTGTGATAATATGTTGACTGTTTAAATAATCACATTACTTCTGCAGAGTATAACCTTTTCCTGAAAACAATTAATCGAAAAATCTTCACTTTGAGCAAACTGCAAAGTTTTCAGTGAGTTCCTAATTGCAAAATAAAGGTATAAGTTTTTCTTAATGCCAATGAAATCGATATCCAAGTTGTTGGACTATCTGGCACTGTGAGATAATTCAATCTATCTCTTTTCAAAAATAAAAAATCCACATTTAAATTGTACAAACACACACATACAAAGTTAATGATGAAAATGATATCAAACACATTGGTTAATTCTTCTTATTCTTAAAGTGATTTACTAAGTGTGCCAGGTAAAACAAAAATCCAACATAAATGTTTCCAACTTGCTCACTTTTTAAATCAATGACTTCATCAGGGAATCAGTTGTAGGAAAATCTATGTCTGAGGATGGAAAACTACCTAGTGAATTATCAGTTTTGTGTATTCAAAGGATACTTGTTTATATGAAAAAATGCACAGTTCTAGATAAAGGTTAGCCTTACCATACACATGGGTATATATGGGGTACATATACAAGATTGAAAGCTTTCATGACTGATAAATTTATAGGCCAAGGATTTTATGACAACTTTTGCCAGCCAAAATAAAGGTGATAATAATGAGTGATGGAGTCAACAAGTTTGATACACTTTCCATGTATGTCAGGAGTTGAGTTTCTCTAACACTCTTTGACTTGTATACATTTAATTATCTAATAATTTGGGGGGGCAGCCACTCTAGTAGGCACTAGGGCACAATAAGGAATAAGACAGCATCCTTGACCTGCAGTTTAGTGGAGGCAGAGTGCCAAAAGGGGCACTGACGGTAATGCAGTAGGTTCTATAATAGACAAGCAGAAAGTACTTTAAAAGCCTAGGAAAGGCGATCCGAAGGCAGCCCGAACTACTAGACAGGTGAGGAGAGGAGAACGCTGAAGATGAAGCAGGCACCCAGAAAGCCTTGATAGTAGGCAGCATCCTAGCTGACTTCCACAGGATGAGTTTGAGTTAGCCAAGCCAGAAGGAGTGGCCAGGGAGTGACAGGAAAGGCATTTCTAACTCAGGGAGGGCCTACTCAGAAGCCAGAAAGCAGGGACCAGTGTGGTTGAGTGTGTCCACATATTTCTTCATAGATTCTCAAAATATTCTGGACTGCATTTCTTTCTTTGATGAGACCTTGGAACTATATGGAGGGTTGACACAAAAAGAGAAGACTAAAGACACAAAGCCTGCAGAGAGCCAGTGCTGAAGCTGGAAAAAGCTGGAAAAACTGAAGCCTGTATTTTAGTCTCGTCTAGCTCATGGCCTACACATCTTGGGACGGGTATGGAAAAGCAGTGTGCATGCAGGCTAGATTATTACCATTCAAGGATGTTAACTGCCTAAAATGTGCCTCAGACTTCTAGGACCTCCTGATCCACATCTTTGTTTCCATAGTATATAATAAATACTTCTCATCCATCTTGAAATGCTTTTCCATAAAGGTAAGCTTAATAGTTTATTTTTAAATGTTTATTTTCTATATAAATACTTCTTGAACAGTTTTGGAATAAAGTCTGAAAAGCTTTACGTATATAGCAGGTATACAGAATAAGAACTTTCAATTGCTTTATGGATTTTTTTTGTCGGACTAGATGGATGTGCAATTCCAATACTATTACCTGGTGTTTAATGTTTTCAGATTATACAACATTAAAATTAAAAAGCCCTAATTATCTAGTCCACCCACGTACTTCATAAATCTAGGCTCACAGTGTCGGCAAGAATTTCTACCCCACGCAAGCAGCTAGTCACAGAGCTGGGACTCGGACTCAGGTTTCCTGGCTCCTCGGCCGAGTAGTTGCCCAAACCTTGCTGCTATCTTATCTCTGTAAGGTGCATTTAAGACACGGCCCATATCATATTTAAAAAAAATACAGTACATGAAAGTTTATACCATTAAAGATATATCAAATATATTTTAATTTTATGATGGTTCAAAAAGTATTTTAGGGACCTTACAAAGCCCTGATACTTTTAGTTACTGATTATCAATGTATTATAGGTGTTCAGATTACTAGATTAAAAACAAAAGTTGAATGAACAGAATATCAGATCAAAACGTGTACCATTTCCACATGAATATATCTAATAAGAATAAGTCTAAAAGCGTCCTCAGACAACTGGTTAAAACACACTTCTTTATATCATAAAACTGTCTGTAGCTACAGACCTAGGTCTAATGCAAGCATCTTAGAAGCAGAGATATATGATGAAGTGGATTATCACTATAATGTGAGTCAACAATGTTTTATTCTCATTTCTTCTCAAAGCATTATTTGCATATGAGAAGTGAAATATTTAGACAATAATACTAATAATGATACTTTCAATTCTAAGTCATTACCAATGACCTGTGTATAAACTAAAGGCACCTAAAAAGAGGGAATGGAGTATTTATTACATAATTAACTTTGCTCAGAATCCAAGCTATAAAAGACACTATTCATTGGGTACAGAAGATTTCCTTTTGAACTGCCTCATGATAATCAAGAAGGACATTGTTGGGCCTACTTGAATTTCAAGTCAGGAATGTTCTTTACTGCTGAAGCAAGCATTTCTATTTCAGAAACGCTTCATGGGCCTTCAGATGGTTAGCTAAATATACTTAGCATTCGAGGATGTGTGCATTTCCCAACAATTGCATTAGACGATGCTTACACAGGCCCACACTAAAATGCTACTCTATTTTACCAGAGTCATAAAACCTTTAAATATCACACTCCTTTTTGTGGGAGTAGGAAAACTTATAAGTGAGTTCATTTTTTAAGCACATGCAGATGAAGAAAGAAAACAATTATCTTTTAAAAATTATTAGGACTATAATCATATTTCTTCACATTTACATAACTGATTCACAAATACCATATACATCTGTCACTTGGTATGACTTAATGATAGCTATGTATATCCAAATAAAACATAACTTAAAAAACAAGGCATTCATTTTTCTCATTTCAAATAATCACAAAATGTCAGGTGAAATGGCCTAGAAATACACCTGTCAACAAGCATTTGTTTTTTTGACCTGGGCCCCACAGTAAATGTGACCACCTAAATAAATATCTCCCAGAAAACAATTAGAATTATATTATTGCTTTTTATTATTGAAGTCCCTTCTAGACAAAAGTGCAGTGTACAGACAGCAAAGGGCATCAGCTCCTGCTTGGACTCAAACAGGATCTATGATTACTTTGGGGCAGGTGGTACCTTGTGCTTCCTGACCTTACCTCCTACATGGAGAGAGGTGATAAAATACAATGGGTTCCCTGAGATACATGACTACAGATACAGATCGGAATGGGAAACTTCAAATCATCAACTGAAAGGAGATTTTGGCTTTCAATCACTTGCTTTTTCAGCTATTTTACAGCATGGATAATAGAATGATGGCAGTGTTCATGAAAAAAATGATGGATATTTCTTTCATTCTTTATAACTCTAAAATAGGATAGGCAATTTAATGGGTTATGGTTATGAACTTCTTTCATTTGTCCTTTATGTCTCAACCCTCTCTCCATGCTGGAATGAAATAAAATAGAGCCTTTTAAGAAGAAGTTTTTCAAAGGAGAAGTGTGTTAAAGGAGTTTTTTGTTTGTTTGTTTGTTTGTGTTTTTAAGACTCATGAAAAGACATTATAGGGGAAAAAAGCTATTCCAGGGACAGAAGAACAAGGGAGTGAGGGTGAAAATCGTTAATATAAACCCCCAAAAGGCAGCTAGATTGGTAGGAAAAAGAATAAATGAAAATGAGATTATCAGATTAAGTAGATGCAAGAATCAAAATGAAGATACTCTTTTCAGATTTTGAAGGCCAAGGTTACAGGGCCAGGGAGAGAGAAGGTATCTTGTAGTAGTGGGATGAGATCGCCTTCACAGTAGCATTTCAAAACACATCACAAGGAAAATGAGAACATAAAGTTTTATCAAAATGCAATTTAGATTGGAAAAAATAAATATTGATATAGAGGGAAGTAATTTTGAATTTAGTCATTTTAAATGTTTAAGAAAGTATATTATATGCTATTTTTATAAGTTCATATTTATATTATAATTATATTTTTAAGACAGAAAGAATTTATGGGAACAATTACTAATGTCCTCTGTGTAACCGACTGGGCAGTGACCTCGGGAAAAAATCTTGTTAGAGATTAGCTGTTAGATGCAGAAACAGAATTGAGAAAGAGTAGCATATCAGAAAAACCTGGGTAGGAACAGATTATCTGCATCCTAACTGTAGTCAAAGTAAGACTGAGATTACAGCTTTTTAAAAAGGAAAATGGTACCTTGGCATCCCTTCTTGGACACATACACAAATTCACCAGTGAAGATGTGGAATAAGGGTGAGAAGAAAATTGGGAGAGGATTCATTCTCCATCCCTCTCTTTTCTCTCTTCTTCTTTAATCCTTAATTTTTATCTGATTTTGCTAAATTTTGAGAAATAGCTACCGGGAACTGTCTCAACACTTGTGCAAACTAGATTACGATATGTACACAAATTGTAAAATCATAATAGTGCTTGAAAAAACATGCTGAAATCGAGCAATTAATTACCTAAAAAAATCAAGTGAAAGCTTGCATGGAATTATTTGCCTGTGAATGCACTAATACCTCAACTGTTATGAAGAGTGCTTATCTGCATAAAGCAGCTCAGAAGTTTGGAGGCCGGAACAGATGCATGTTGGACAACAGAAGTCTATACCAAACACTGAATAAGATTCCAAATCATACAGTCGTTACATTTTGATCTTACTGTAAATGCTTTCCAAAAATAACTGAAATGGCACTGAAGTATTTCTCCTAAAATCAACCACCTAAGGACTGCAGAACAGTGATCAAGTCTTTAAAAATAAGGCAGCCACCAAAACTGCAACAGAAATACTGGGCAAACCTACCTTTTATAAAGAAGAATAGCAATGACAATGCAGATGATAAAGACCACTGCAAGGACCGGACCTACAACCCAGATCAAGCCTTCTTCTTCATCCGTGATTGGCTGTGGATCCAGGTCCATTGACACCACAGGGTCAGAGTACGGGCTGGTTGCATACATCTTCTGAGGAAGAGGAGAGTCTATTTTAGTTATAAAATAATGGCTTTCTAGAGAGTACCTTTAACATGTGGAGAAGTAAAAAATCCAGGAAATAGTGGATATAATGGCAACTGTGCTAAGCAATGTTAGCAAAATAGAGGGAAGGGGAAGGGAGAGGAGAATAAAGAAAAGAGAGGAAGAGTTTTGTAATATAAATTTCCTATAGAGTGAAATATTTTTTAATAAAATCATTTTGAGAGTACAAGTTACTTCACAGACACTTTTCATTGGGATCTATATATGGCATATTAAATGGTCCTATGAAGTGTAAAGTACCAGTAATTAACCAGTGGCAAAATGTTTAATGAACATTTACATTGTGCCAAAGTGTTAGGTGCTCAGTGAAAATCAAGAGACTATATTAGAGTTCCAGACGTCAAGGCATTATCATACAGTTAAGGAGACCAAAGTACATATTTACAATGCAAAGTCAGTCAGTATGTAATTAAATGTGCATGTCAGCAGTTGTTAGTACTACTGTGCTTCTTAGTGCTTGGTACTACTCAGTATTTCTGCATTTTACTCAGGAATTAGAGCCCAAACAATGAACAAAGTCTAAAATTTCAAAAGCGAATTCCATAATTCAAACGACAGATGCAAGATGTACAGAATTGATGATATACACGGCTTCGTAAAACAGAGAGTTTTTAGTACTTAAAAGAATTTAGCAGTTCTCATTTTGTTTTATTATAGTTATTGCTCAGAGACTGGTATGTTTGTTCCCGATAGACAATTGATAATATACTTTTTAAAAATACAGTTACTTGGAGAAGAAATGGACTAAATATCTACGATCTTTATTTCTGTGAAATCCCATCCTATTTAGTTCTGTCCTATTTGAGTCTGTATCAGGAAAACATCTTCCTGACTCTCCCTGCCCCCTTCAAGGCCCTGTCTTCGACTTTCTCCGTCCAGCAGAGACAAATCCATATCCACTAGCTGCTCTGCTTCTCCTATCACTCACTCCTCAGCTCTTCTCACTCCAGCACCACCATTGGTCCTATTTTTGTTTTAATTTGCCAAAACGAATCGTCTTTATTTACTCTTTACCTTTCTAGGCAACTTTTCCAGATTTGCCACTGTGGATAAAGCCTTCTTTTTTTCTGTCTTCCATCCTAATCTTTCAAACTGCTCAAGCCCTGCTGAGTTAATTGCCTCTGACTCCATCCTATAGACTAACATTCTTTCCCCCAAAAAAATTTATTATGGAGATGGGTCTCACTATGTTTCCCAGGCTGATCTCGAACTCCTGAATTCAAACAATCCTCCAGCCTCGGCCTCCCAATGTTCTGAGATTATAGGTGTGAGCCACCGTGCCTGGCCCTGAACCAGCGCTCTTAAGTTCTATTCTCCACTAGCATCTTTGTCCTCTCGTACCTGGCAAGGTCAGCCCAAGCTTTAACTATCAGCCTCCATGCAGACTATGTCTTCATTAATGTTCCTAAACTCAGATGCTCTATGAAATACCAGATCTTCATTTTCAGTCATGTCTAAAGACTACTACATATATACTCAAATTAAGTATAAATTTCTTAATTTTTCCCAGATATTCCTTCCCTTCCTCCTGACCTCCCAAATACTCTCATCCTCTCAGTTTCTAGGAATGGATGTTGATTTTACCTTATAATAACAGGAATAGAATGGAAACACTGGTTTTAGCTCATCAGTGACCTCCAGGTCCGTCTGCTCTCCTTCCAGTCTCATGAGCGCACTTTTCTTTAGGACCTCATTGATGTGTTCCTCAACATACCAAAAGTTTCTTCCTTCCTCTAATAGTCTCCACTGCTGTTAGAGGTATCATCCTAAACTACAACTACAAAGACTTCAAGAAGCTCTCTCATGATTTCCAAATAAAATGGAGACAACTTAGCATGGTTCTCAAGGGCATCCACAATTTTACTTTAAACTGCTTACAGCATACAACACAATCCATCACAGTGAGCTTCTTGCTGCTACTCCCTAAATGCTCTTATTCTTGTTCCTCAACTCCCTCACAAGTTCCACAACATTTAGCCCCTGAAATTGAACAACGCTTCAGGCCCCCATTTGAGTACTGTCTCCAATGAAACCACCTCTTTTTAACTGATTAGCAGTCATTGGTCCATTTTCTTTGGTGAACCTACAAACTCCTAGAAGTAGGGATTTATATAGTATTTGCATTTATATGCTGAAAGCAGCTAGCACTGACTCTTGTACTTTGTGGGTTCTCAGCAAATCTTGGCTGAATAAGGCAAAATAAAATGTTCATCTTTCCAAATGGCTGAAATTATCAAGACATCGGTATATCTGCTCATTTTTCATGATCAGTACATATATTTAAGTGTTTTAACCTGCATCTTTAAAAATTTGTGTTTATGGCATCTATTCTGAACTTAAGTACAATGAGCTCAGCCATCAAACAGGAGAACAAACGTTCCACTCAATGCCTGTATACTATTCTTCTTTCTCATTTTTTTCATTGTGCCCAGGAAAGAGACTGACTAAATTTTCAGATTTTCTAATGCATGAAAAGAAGATGAAAACTCAATCCATATTTCCAAGCTTCTCAGAAGCAGCTAAAAAACAAAAGGATGTGTATGGTATGAGGTTTGACACAAAGGACTTGGCAAAGAACTATATATCTGAGAAAGATAATTATTTACATAATTGTTTTGGTTTATACATTACCCCTTCCCTTTGTAGGTGATGCTCAAATTGTTTGATAGACAGCAGTAAGCAAAACTGTCTGATTTGAAATTCTTTACAAAGAGCCTTTGAGATAACAATCAGAGGCTAGGCGAGGTGGCTCACACCTGTAATCCCAGCACTTTGGGAGGCCGAGGTAGGCAGATCACAAGGTCAGGAGATCGAGACAATCCTGGCTAACATGGTGAAACCCCATCTCTATTGAAATATAAAAAATTAGCCAGGCATAGTGGCATGTGCCTGTAGCCCCAGTTACTTGGGAGGCCAAGGCAGTAGAATCATTTGAACCCAGGAGGCGGAGGTTGCGGTGAGCCGAGATCATGCCACTGCACTCTAGCCTGGGCAGCAGAGCAAGACTCTGTCTCAAAATAAATAAATAAAAAGATAATAATCATGGTTCATTGAGATGGAAGTTTAAGCACAGGTTTTCCCAAAGAACAAAGATTTCCAACCCATGCAAGAAACAGAGATGTGTGAAAATGAAAACAGTCATAAAATGATTCCAGCCTCATGAAATGTATAATTTCTTGTGCATATGAGAAAAAGAAGAGATTAAATTTTGGATCATCCCAAACCAGTTATCTGATCTTCTTAATAGGAGATAATGGATTAGGGGATAGCTTGTGTCTTTGAGGGAGAGGGAAAAGTATTTTCTCTTTGCAAATTACCAGTCTACCCTCGGAATGGTTAGGAACATTGTTACAATCTGTTAGAGAAATCTCAGACTTACACAAAGGCTTTCTCACTGCAAAATGACTCTAACTGGATATGTCTCTTCTAGGCCTGAAAATATATATGATATGGAAAAGAAATACATATCATATATATTTGAAAGCAATGCTGAGAAAGATGATAAAGGGGCAACTTCCTTCACACATTTGGAAAAAAAATCTTAATTCTATAATTAATAAGCAGATGACATACTAAAGAAAGGGACAGGCTGTTCATCAGTTGTGACACATTTAAACTCTAGTGGAAGGCATCAGAAACCAGAGTGGTGCAGTGGTTGAGTCTGCAGGATCGAATGAGATTTCTCTTCTTTGCAAGATTCTCTGATCTACCTCAATGCTCTGAGTATGCTTTCTGAAACGTTCCTAGAGCTATTAAAAGAAAATTCCTCTCAAATATTTAAAAGTCACTTTTGAATAAAAGAAAAAGATGATTTCTTAACATTCCATTCCCTTGATGTTCTGCCTTAAAACCTTCAACTAGAAAGAGAAAGCATATCTGTACATTAAAATTCCAGGAAGGCCATCGCTTTGTTTTCAAATGACATTCTGAGCACAAAGGTAAACCAGGCAGAGAGGCTGCCTTTGTGTTTTGATTTTCCACAGGGGAATTCTTTCAGTCACTTGAAGAGAGGCCCCACTGTACACACTAACACCTGATGTCGAGAAATCTTTGATACATCGTGAGCTGCTTTTATACAGGAAATGACTGGCTCAATTGTTTGCCACACCTGTCATATTTAGACCCCGATTAGAAAAATGAAGTTTAAAATATGTATATTAAATGTTCGCGTGTACTGCCACTTCAAAATTCAACCTCTTCCCATCTACAGTATCTCTCCCTTTCTTTTTTTAAAACATTCAAAGCAACTGAAGCATAAAATGACATATAAGCAAGATGAATTACATAAAAGAAGGAAACTCATTATTTAGAATATCTTAGGAATTGTCTTTTTAATTAAATTATTGTCTAACTTTCTTGGCTTTTCACTGATACAGTCACTCATAAATTTCTATAATTAAAGAAGCTGTTGTATTTGTCTCTTTCTAGACAGACCTTCCTCACGAATCTGGGTAGAGGCACTGTCATCTCACTTGGCAGATGCAGGAGAATAAATACAATCACCCCTAAAATCATTATTTCCAGAAATATGCCACGTTGAATGGCAGAACTTGTGAATTTCCACGATAATCACAGGGGTTAATGTCAATCAGGTATTATGCAAGATGAGGACAGTCTCTTTTTTTTTGGACAATAGTTATTTTGAAAGGATGAGGGAAGGAGTTTGTGAGCAATGATGGCTCTGTGTTACATCAAAAGGTATCAAGGATCATGTCGTATAGATCTGGAACTTCATAAACTAGAGGGCCACCTAAATTTCCTTCATCAGAGACACAGTCTCATTTGTGATGCAATCTTGAGGAGTACACTCAGCAATGTTGAAAGAATAGGCAACCTGTTATTACACTTAATAAGCGTTCATGAGAAATATGGGGATGGATATATCTACAAATCCCTAAATAACCACATTCCAGTGAAAATGTATAAGCATTCCATAGGAAACAGATGCCATCATAATTAACTTACAGACTCTGCATGTTCCATTACTGCTAACACAAAGAAGACATATTCTTGACCACTTTGGAGTTGCTTGTTTGTAAATCCACCATAATGCTTGTCATCCCCCAGGGTGAACTCAGTGGGAAGGACATCAAAGTGAGCGGCAATATATGGCTTTAATTCAACTTCTCTCCCATAACGGATGCTTCTGCGTTTCCTAGATATCTCCTTAAGCAGCTTAAGGAAAAAAGTGGGAAACAGAAAAAGACCTGTAAACAATAACCCAACTTACTGGTAATTTAATGAGGGAAATTAATTCAGAACTAGGACCAACCCAAATGCAGTGTGTTCACATTTCATATAGCACCTTGGCATCACTAAATCTCAGTTCTCTCAATATTTCAAACGCTTCTCTTCCTGTTAAGGTAAGATACTGGACTGTTATTACAAGGTCCAGGCTATAAACACAGGGCAATTAGATCCTTTACTGTAGCTCATTTCATTTCCTACACTAATGAAATTCTCTCAAAGAGCAATAGTACATCATAACTTGTCTGTCTAAGGAAAAAAGTCAGCTTGATTCATAAAAGCCTTGCCTTGCAGGAGATTTATTAAACAAGTAGTAACCTCACACAAAGCCATCTAAATCTTTAAATCTGACCACATTTTAGAAGAGGTTAGTAACATTTTAGACTGTTTTTAGTAATGAAATAATTCATATGATACAAATTCCCTCAAATCAGCAGAAGCAGAATCCAACAAATAATTTTTAATGTATACATAGTAAATAGACATTGTTACTCATTAACCAATTTCTGGCTTGACTGAGCTCCTTGTTTGGGCAATTGGGATGCACCTCCCTACACTTTATCATGGCGGTAACTTTTTCTAGAATCGACCTCTCGGGAGTATGTATATCTTGCTGGGTGATACAGGCAAGGTAGATGAACATTAATGTTAGTACTACCCTGAAGAAAACACACATGCATGTGTATATATGAATCCTTCATGTATTTCTAAAGAAAAGAGGTAGAATTTATTTTTGGATAATCTATTGTTTTTCATGGACTCCTTTATTATGGGAATATCATACTAACAGCAGTTATGAACATGGATCTCAAAGTTACCTTTGTCATCTCCATTTAAAATTGGTATGTTACAGGGTTTAACAAGAAAAAGGTCTGCATTAGTCTGGGATGCCTGTTGATGTAAGCAGGAATTTTTTTTTGCCAGTTTCTTGGAAATAACTTTTATTTTATTTATTTTACTATCTGTGTATTAATAGAAAAGTCCGTGTATTTGAGGAGAAACTGCAAAAAGGAATGAACCTTGATAAACAAAATTAAGATACTTATGAAAACAGTGCAGCAAAACTATTTACTAGCCCTGTTTTTATAAATAGCAATGATCTAGTAAGGGCAGGCGTGGTGGCTCACGTCCGTAATTCCAGCACTTTGGGAGGCCAAGGCAGGCAGATCATGAGGTAAGGCAAGTGAGATCATCCTGGTTAACATGGTGAAACCTCGTCTCTACTGAAAAATATATATCTAAAAAATTAGCCGGGGATGGTGGCACACGCTTGTAGTCCCAGCTACTCAGGAGGCTGAGGCAGGAGAATACCTGAATGCGGGAGGCGAAGGTTGCAGTGAGCCGAGAG